ATATATGCATATATACATATATATATAATTTTTATCTTTTTGCTACTATACATTGTGTGCTTTTTAAATTACTTTTTTCCCCTGGATGCTCCATGCAGCATGCAGAACTTCTCTGACCAGGGATCAAACCTGTGGCCGCTACAGTATAAGTGTAGAGTCTTAACCACTGGACCATCAGGAAAGTCCTAAATTACATTTTTGTACATTACTGTTATACACAAAAGCAATTTCTTTTTGGATATTGGTCTCACAGCTAACCGTCTTGCGAAAATCTCTTATGTTGAATCATTCATCCAATCGATCATTCATTTGGATTTTCTACCTAGGCAACCATATCATATGAAAATACTGATGGTTTTACTCTTTTCCCATGCCTAGGCCTTTAATTTCTTTTTCTTGTCTTACTATATTGTCTAGCACCTGTGGGAAAATGTTACATAGAAGCAGAGATAGTTGTCATCCTTGTCTGGTTGTGGATTTTAAAGGAAATGTCCTAAAATTTCCTCATCAAAGAAAATAATACATATGTAAAATAAATAATAGTACATATGAAAACTTTCTCTGATTTTCCTTTATCACATTAAGGACATTTCCATCTAGCTTGCTGAGAGCTTTTGTCATGAAAGAATGTTGAATGTCATCATTTTTTTTCCCTAGATCTATTAAGATGATCATATGTTTTTTCTTCTTAAAACTATAATGTAAGTTTTTAGTCTGGGCTCCTTCAAAAGTAGAGATTGCAACAAGGACTACAGTTCAGGTAGATTATTTCAGGTAGATTATTTAATTATTGAAGCCAGGAAGCAGGAAATAAGGAACAGGAAGACTGGGGCAGGGAAGGAGAGAAAGCCAATAGAAGATGCATAACTGATGTTGCAGGTGTCAGCAAAGGAAGTTCAAGTCTGTCGGGACCTCTGATAGGTCTCCAGGATGCTGGCCAGAATCGCCTATCCAAAAGAACGAGGCTGGAGCTGTATCTGCCAGTTCTTAGCCTCTTGTTGGTTGAGGGATTCATGTTAGGGAACTTGGCACTCCTAGGCTTCTGGGAAACACTAGTAGGTAGCTAAGTGACTCCTGAAGCATTGAAGAAGACTGAGGAAGAAAAGCAAAGAAAAACATGGTATAAACCTGAGGTGGGACCCTGGAGCATAAGATGAGTCTAAGGTTGCAGGAAATTATCCACTGTAAATGCAGCTGATTCTAGAGGCATGCATAAGCAATGTGACATAGAGCACCAAAGTTTACTATTACCACCAATAACAAATGACCTTCATAGCTTTCTCTTCTATTGTTTGACCAACTATTCATAGCTAAACCTAACTTGGATATGATGTCTAATATTTTTAATACATTGCTAGGTTTGTATTTTTCTTATTTTTCATTCATACTCATGAGTGAATATAAAATATAATATAACATAAATATATAATATAAACAAAATGTGTATAATATAAATATAATATATAAAAGTATATTTGTAATATAAATTAAAATTGAATATAAGATATAATATAAAATTATAATTTTATAATTTAATTTTAATTTTTCTGTTTCATCCTAATTTGTCTCATTTTGGTGTTAAGGTTACACTGGCCTCAAAGAAAGAGAGCATGTTCCTGCTATTTCCATTCTCAGAAAGAGCTTTTGTAAAATTAGAATTATCCCTACTTAAACTTCTGTAACACTGTCTAGATTTGATGTTTTCTATGTGGGAAGATTTCAAATTATGGATGTAATTTTTTAATAGTTGTAGAACTATTCAGGCTTTTTATTTCTTCTTCAATCAAGTTAGGTAAGTTCTACTTTTTCTAAGATTTGGTCTACTTGGTTTCATATTTCTTGACATACATGATTTATAGTCTTTTAATTTTTAACTTTATTGAAGTGTAATTGATTTACAACATTGTATTAATTAAATGTTTGATTATGGTAAAGTACACATAACAAAAATTTCACCCCTTAACCATTTTTAAATGTACATATGGTTGTCTTACATTCACATTGTTTCATAATGGATCTTGAGACTTTTTCAACTTGTGAAACTGAAACTCCGTACCCATTAAACAAACAGCTCACCATTCCCCCCTGCCCCCAGGCCCTGGCATCCACTGTTCTACTTTCTGTTTCTATGAATCTGTATAGTCTTCTTTGTGAATTACTAGATATATTATTTAAAATTTTTAGGTTGGCCTATAATGTACAATATTATGTAAGCTTCAGATGTTCTACACAGTGGTTTGGTATTTGCATACATTTTGAAATTATCACCACAATGAGTCTAGTATCCACCTCTCTCCATACAGAGTTATCAAAATGTTATTTGACCATATTCCCTATGCTGTGTTATACCCCTGTGGTTTATTTTATAGTTGGCGCTTTGTACCTCTTGATCCCATTCACCCATTTTGGACCCTCTCAGCCCCTTAGTCTCTAGCAACCACCCAATCATTGTCTGTATTTAGGAGCCTGGTTCTGGTTTTGTTTGTTTTGTTTTTCAGATTCCACATACAAGTGAGATCATATTTGGTAATTGTCCTTGTCTGATTCACTGCACTTAGCATAACACCCTCCAGGTCCATCTGTGTTGTTGAAAATGGCAAGATTTCATTCTTTATGGCTGAATAATATTCCGTTGTATAGATATACAACCACATCTTTATCCATGCATCCATTGATGAACACTTAATTTGCTTCCACATGTTGGCTACTGGAAATGATGCCACAGTGAACATTTGTGTGCATATATGTCTTCGAATTAGTGCTCTTGTTTTCTTCAGAAGAATACTCTGAAGTAAAATTGCTGGATCGTACGGCAGTTCTATTTTTAATGTTTTGAGGCACCTCCACACTTTTTTCCACAGCAGTTGCACCAATTTACAACCCCACCAAGAGTACAAGAGGGTTCCCTCTTCTCCACAACCTTGCCAATGCTTTTTTTTTTGTTCTCTTTTTGATGATAACCATTCTGACAGTGGTGTGTGATATCTCAATGTGGTTTTGATTTTCATTTCCCTGATGATTAATGATGTTGATCATCTTTTCACATTTGCTTCATTATTCATAATAGAGAGATGTTGTATTAAAATTTCTTGCTATGATCATGATTTTATCTCTTTGTTGTTCCTTCAAACTAAGTGCTTACAAGTTTAGAACTCATAATTTCCAGATGAACTGATCCTTTAATCTAGGTACTCACTCTGTCCCTAATAAATATTTTTGTCTTAAAATTCCTTTTTGCTTGATACGAACAGAACTTTCCTGGTTTTATTTTGGTTAGCTTTTGCCTGGTGTATCTTTTACTATTCTTTGACTTTCAACCATTCCACACTCTTATTCATTAGATGTGCCTCATAAAAAATGTAGATCTAAGTTTTGTGTTTAAATATTTTAAAAATGTAATCTGAGATGAGAATTTAGGAATGATTGAGCAAATGACTCCCTATAAACCCTGCTAAAAACTGAGTTTAAAAGCCTGTATTTTCTTTCTTTTTGGTCATGAAATGCGCATATGGAATGTTAATTCCTAGGGGATAAAAGACTAGGGATCCAAGGCTCACCCTCTGTGTGGAAGCAAAGAGTCTTAACAACTGGACACCAGGGAAACCCTAACAGGAAAATCCTAAAAGCCTGCATGTTCAACAACAATCCACAGTTGACAAGAATCCTAACCAAGAAGACTGTCGTTCAAGGTGGTCTGTCTGAGCTATTTTTCTGTTGTTGTTCAGTCTCTAAGTCATGTTGACTCTTTTCAAACCCATGGACTATAACACACCAGGCTCCTCTGTCCTCCACTATCTCCTTTTTTGTTTTTTAGTAGACTTCTTTTTAGAAGAGCAGTTTTAGACTTGCAGCAAAACTTAAGGGAAGTAGAGACTTCCCACATACCTCCTGTCCCCACACATGTACAGCCTCTCCTGTTATCAACATCCCCCACCAGAGTGGTCCATTTCTTATGATTGAGGAACACCCAAAGACCATCGTTGACATGACGGTTCAGTCTTGGTGTGTACATTCTGTGGGTTTGGACAAGTGTGTACTGACACCTGTGCACCACTGTAAACAGTAGATTCTCTGACCTAAAATCCTCTCTGTTCTTTCAGTCCATTTCTCCCTCCCTTTAATCCCTGGCAACTACCAATTCTCCAACCAGCCACTCCTCATTCCTAAGTTCTCACCTCAGTCCCATCACCTAATATCTGTGATTTAGGCAAGTTATTAACTCACCTGAGCCCTGAACTTCCTCAATGCACGATCAAAATTGGTGGATTTGCTGTGATAATGAGACAGTGTCTTAAACCTTACTTAGTCCCTAACAGAGAATGGGCATCAGTGAAACGCTGGTTTCTTCTCCTTCCTCCTTGTCTTAGTAACGTGAAGTCACACTCAGCTTAGAGACAGGAAAGTGCAGGGGGCCGTGTGCATCACCAGAAATCTGAGGGGAGGGGCAGAGGAAGGAGGAGAATGTCGAGCTATCGCCTCCCAAACCCTCTTTCCAGCTTGGAAAGTCCCTCCCTTGCTGACACCAATGAAATGTGCTGTGGGATTTGGGACTCCCCAGATTTGGGGTTTGTAGTGGTCACTGTCCCGTGTGCACACACATCTCACACACATGAGCCTCGGGTGCCCACCCACCCCACATAGGACCGTGCCAGGAGGACTAGGTATGTCCCGCTTATCAGCTGACTCCTGGCTTCCTCTGCCCAACTTCGTGCAGACCTGTTGCCCTGGGAGCTGGCCTTCCATGTGGCCTCCCGAAGACCACTCAGATAATGAGGGGAAATGCGGTCATGAGCGGAGGAAGGCTGGGGGTTCCGGACTGCAGCTGCAAGTCCTCCCCCCACCCCCCGCCTCCCTGACCGGCGCCCTGCCCCTCTCTGCAGGCAGTCCTCAACGCTCCCTGTGAGCCTGCGGATGCCACTCGCGATGGCCCCTTTTGGTGGCTGGGGAGCGCTCGCAGCCTTTCTCTCCCTGCTCTGCTGCCGAGGTGAGCCTGGGGGTCCAGACTGGGTGCGTGCCAGCCAGAGGTTGGGGCGCCTGTTCCCCTGATGTCCTGTGGAGAAGGGGGTCCTTGTCCCGAAGTCGCTGAGGCTTTGAGCACAGCGGCTGCCCACCATGGGTGCAGGATGCTATGCAAGCCTGGTTTCCCCATGACCCCATGACCCCGGGGCAGCAGATGGGGGACCTGGCCTTCACACTTTGGGTTGAACAGGCCCCATAACTTCAGGGTAGTGGATGTGGCAAGTCGTGGACACTGATGGGGAGATGGAGGGAGGCTGGGGCTCAAGGGACAGTGAGGGCCCGTCCCAGCTGGTCTTCAGAGGTGGCCCAGTGGAGAGCAGACGCCAGTGGCGGGCATCGTCTTCTGCTGACCATCAAAGCGAAAACGAAGCCCCTTCTGGGGAGTCCAGGGGACGGTGAAGGAGAATGCCTCCAGGTGTGAGCACTCTGTTTTGGAAAACCTGTCAGGTGCCTTCATGACAACCATTCAGGAAAGGGATTACTAGCCCATTTGACAGATGGAGAAACTGAGGCTCAGAAAAGGAAAGCACTTTGCCCAAGGCCACAGAGCTGGCAAACTCGGGATTCAGAGGCAGCTCTCTCTCTCCCGACAGAACCTTTCTCTTTCCCCAGCTGAGGGCTAGGTGGGGGTGGGTGGGTGTTGCTGGCGGGAACACAGGACACATACAGGCCCAGCCGGCCAATTTCAGTTCAGATTCCTCACCTTCCTCACTGGGCTCCAGCCATCCTGGTGTCCCCCCTGCCCAGGGTCTTGGCACTGGTGGTTTTCTGCCCTCTGCAGATACCTGGCAGCCAAGCTCCCCCCATCTCCTTCCTCCTTTCCTCAAATGTCAGTGTTTCCATGAAACCTGTCCAGAGCACAGTATTACGTGGCAGCCCCGCCCCACTCCCTATTTCCTTTCCCAGGCACTTCGCGCCAACTGACAGGCTGGCTAGTTCCCTAGTTTGTTACTCTGCATCCCTCGCAGCAGTGCGAGCTCCACAAGGACAAGCTTTGAGCTTCTTCCGTCTCTGATGCTCCCCAGAGCCTAGAACAGTGCCTGCCATGCAGCCGGTGTTCTACAAGGATTTGCAGAAGAGAGGGAAGGAGTGAGGGAGGAGCCGAACTCATGGACACGGGGCCTGAGAGGACACAGTCCACCTCCATTTCAGGGAGGTCTTCACAGAGGAGGGGTCATTTGGGCTGGGGGGCAAGTTCGAATACAACCTTCTTGGGGATAGGAGAGGTGCATGAGGAAGACTCACCTGGAGGGGACCAGCTGGGCGAGCATCAGGGGCAGGGAGACAACTAGGGCGCATCCCCCTTGGTCTAGACCAGAGGCAGTAATGTCTGAACAAGGAGAGAGGAGCAGAGAGCACCCCTTGATCAGACTGCCCATCGTGGGCAGCCCCATCGGTCAGGGCAGCAGGGGTGTATGCTGCCCAGTGTTTTCTGTCCTTCCAGGGTCTGGTGAGAAGGCGTTCGAGGGGCCAAAGCAACTGATGGTGGGGTCTGGAGAGTTTCAGTTCATTAACTGTACTGCCAGTTGTACGGACCCCAAGAGACTTGTTCTGGAGACAGCCCTAAACAAGACTCTCCTGGAGAGCCAGACTCAGTGGAAGCTGTTCAAGGTCTACAACATCTCCAAGGATGAGGAGCTCCTGTGCAGTTCCACCTGCGGCGGCAAGCAGGAGACGAAAGTTTTCCACATCACCGTGTTCTGTGAGTGTCGCCCACGGGGCCCTGCTCCCCGAGACCGGAGCCTGTGTCTGCAAACCCACCCAGAGCTGCTCTGTCACTGCTCCTGGGCACTCCCCTGTGGCCCCCACCTCCCTGGGCTCCTGGATCCAGGCCACAGGCTCAGAATATGCTCACAGCCCCACCCCCGGCCTCTTCGAACCCTGCCAGCAACCAGGATTTTGAGATTTGCTCAGAAGCAAGCAATCCAAGCAAGGTTTAGATAAATCTAATAGTCGTTTCCCACAGTCTTCCCAGCTGGGGAGCACCCCCATCACCAGAACACCCCACATCCTGTGACGAGCAGCAGGGACCCCATCAGGAGGGCTGGCACACTCTCCACTAACCCATTCACCTCCTGGAGAGAAGGTCCTGGTCTTATCTCCCCCTGAGGGCCCTTTGCAAATGTGTGACTATCACACACACACACCCTTGCCCACGGGCCACAGAGACCATGGATAGACCGAGGTTCTCTCGGAAGCTCGGCACCCAGGGTATCGCTCAGAACTGTTATCAGTGATCAAATGAGTAGAAACATGTCCTAAATCTACCATATTATCCTGGGGTAATGGGGACTAGGTATTCTAGTTCAGAAATGATCCCAGAGAGATGTCCTGGTGGTCCAGTGGCTAAGGCTCAGCACTCCCAATGCAGGGGACCCGGGTTTGATCCCTGGTCAGGGGACTAGATCCCATGTACCACAGCTAAGACCTGGAACAACCAAAGAAATAAATCTTTTTTTTTTTTTTTTTTAAAAGGGAACTCAGGGAAGCATGGAGTTTAATAGCTAAGGGATAGAGATAGTTTTAAACCTGATCCTGAAATCCAAGGCAGGTCTGACTCTTGCCCTCGCCTCTGATAATCTCACAATTCACGGCCCCATTCCAGTGAGTACTCCCTTCTAAATCTCTCTCAACAAAACTATCCAACTGTTTAATTTTTGAAATTTCTATTGAATTTATGGAGAGGAAAGAGACACAGTCCAGACTTTTATCTTTCTAGTTGATTGAAGAAATTCTGAACCTTTTTTTTGTAGACACCAGGGCACCTCCTTTCTTGTCCATTGCAGAAGTCATCATGTCCCTAAAACTACCACCCAGTACATCCTTCACCCTCAACTGTTTCCTCCTTCCATCCCTAGCCCACTTTCTGAGAACACGGTGGTCACAGGGGATGGTCTGGGCTGGGTGGGGCCTGCGGAGATGCACACCCATCCTGACCAGACCTCCCTTCTGCTTTGCTGCAGACCCTCCAAAGCAAGTGCTGCTGACGCTGTCGCCCACCACAGTGGCCGTAGGGACACTGTTCACCATCGAGTGCAGGGTCCCTGCTGTGGCCCCCCTCGAATGCCTCAATGTCACCCTGCTCCGTGGTACTGAGATCTTGTGCAATCAGACCTTTGTGGGGACAACACTTTCCCCCCAAGATGCCGTGGTCACCCACAACACCACAGCTCACAGGGAAGATGGCCTCTATAACTTCTCATGCGAGGCCCAGATGGACATGCGCTCTTGCGGCGGTGGCCTCGTCCACAGGGTCTCAGATCCCCAGAGGCTTGAAGTCAAAGGTGAGGGGGAGCCCACAGATCAGGAAGGGGGACATTCACTTTCAGCCCCTTAGGGGAAGAGAACGCCTTTGCCCCACTCTCTGCCAGCTCAGGGGAGGCACTCGGGGAAACGATGCTTGATCCCCAGGGTTCCCTGGAGCTCCTGGCTAGTTCCTAGCTGGACTCTGACTAGTTGATTGGTCAAGAGTGAGCTGGATGACCTTAACCAAGTCAAGCTCATCTCTCTTGGCTTGACCGCTCTCTGCAATGATAAAGATGACCTGACTGATCCCTAAGGTCCCCTGGAGCCCTGCTCTTCTGTGACCTTAGATGTCCAAGATCCTCTTTGTCTTCAGAGAGTCTGGCTGAAGCTCCCTCATCTCTGCCCAGGGAGGGGCTTGGCCTGGACACGCCACGGTCCAGGCCATGAGGTCTGGCAGCCCATGGCAAGGGGACCATCTGAGTCCATCTGCCCTCATGGTCTCACAGAGGCTGGTGGCCTGAACCCCGGTCCTCGTCCCTCTAGTGATAACACCTTTTGCCACTCATACCTGCAATGCCGAGTGACAGCAGGATGACCAGGGGTGGGTGGGTGGGTGACAGGTGGATGCCTGTTCTCCCTTGAGCCTGGCACCTGGGACCAGAGGCCTTGTGTGACCTGTACCGCTTCTCTCCCCAGAGCCCGTGCCCAACAACCAGATGAGGACCATCATCATTATCGTGGTAGTCCTGCTGGTCTTATTGGTGACATCCGTCCTCCTGTACCGGTACTGGTGGCGGCCACGTCACAACTGAGTGCACGCCGCTAAGAGGAGGCTGATAGGGAGCCACTGGGCACCGCCTCTATGAGCGGCGTGGCCACTGGCACGGCGGCCACTGGAACTCACTGTGGCTCCTTAGGGTGCGGTCCAGGCCTGGCTGGGGGACCAAGGCAAACAGCCTGAATACAAACACCTGGACTTAACCCTGTGCCTTTGTGTCTCCTCCTGGGAATGGCCAGGAAGGGGAGCCACCAGGCCTGGCTGAACTTCTGTCTCCAAACGTCTCCTCTGCCCCCTCTGCCCTCTCCTTCGGAGGCCTTCTGGAGCCCCAGCAAACCCAGGCCCTGGCGTGCCCCCAGGCCGACTGGCCCGGGCACCAGGCACCCAGCCTCATGGGACCCTGAGAGGCCGCTTCCTCCTGACGGAGGGCGGGGAGACCCGCCTGGCCCAGAGGGGCAGAGAGACACTCTGTTCCCACGTGGCCCTCCAGGACGTGGCTCTGGCTTCTGTCTTCTGCCAACAGAGCCAGCACCAGGGGTGAGTATGGGGGCCCAGTGGCTGGGCTCCGGGAACCTCCCTGCCAGGCCTCCCCCATCACTCTGGGCCTTCGGAGAGCCATGGAAACAAAAGCAGTCCTCGCCTGTTACCTCCAGTTCTGTTATTGGGCTAAATGGAGACGCCGCAGTCCTGGTCATCCAGAGAGAGGGGAAGGGGAGGAGGTCGAGGGAGGGCTCCGTCGCCCAGGCCTCTGCCAGCCGTGGCAGCAATCAACGGGACAGGGTTGGCATTTGTGGCTTCTGGGGCCTGGACGGGGCCCTAAGGGGCTCTCACCCGGATCAGAGATCAGGTTGGTTTAAGGCCTCCGTGTGGTGGGAGACGGGACTCACTCACCCCGGGGAGAGGGCCTGGTGGGAGATGGGAGGGTAAGAAGGGTTGCCAGGTGTAGAAAGGGGCTGTTCGGCATGAGAGGGACACGGGGGCTCCAGGGCTGTTTGCAGCTCCGTGATGAAGCTGGCGCGGGCTCCAGGGCTGATGTCTGTTTTCATGTCTTGAGACTCTCAGCATCATAGTAGTGAGAGAGTCAGTTCCTAGGCAGCTTGATAAGAAGTCTGGGGTCCCCAGGGAGGAGGAGAAAGGGACCTGGAATTCTCAAGGAGGAGGAAAGAACAAACATCTTTTTTTCTTAGTCACATGGTGTTACTGGTTTAGTCGCTAAGTCTTGTCCGACTCTTGCGACCCCATGGACTGTAGCCTGCCAGGCTCCTCTGTTTCTGAGATTCCTCTATGCAAGAAGCAAGAATACTGGAATGGGTTGCCATTTCCTTCTCCAGGGGATCTTCTTAACCCAGGAATTGCACCCGGGTCTCCTGCATTGCAGGGAGATTCTTTCCCAACTGAGCTATAAGGGAAGCCCTTAGTTGTTTTCTTTAACCTGAGGAACTGATGATTACAGCAAACAACTCAGTTTAAACTGTGTACTGAGGATTATATAACAACAATGTATCCTGCTTGAGGGCAGTTTTTCCTTCCTGAAAACCTTCAGGCTAATCCTGTTATCTTAAAAAAAGTAAATTACGGGAGTGGGTCTAGTAAGATCTTCACAACCTAAAGACATTCTTTTGATTTATTGTAATAACTAATTTAAAAAGTATATAACTCCCTTGCTAACACTAGCGAGGGGGGCACTCTCCGTTCCCTTCTGATGTCTAGGTCAGAAGCTTTCTCTGTCCTTTTCATACTTTAATAAAACTCTGCTACACAAAACCTCTTGAGTGATTAAGCCTGGTCTCTGGTCCTTAAGCTAAATCTTCTTTGGAGATCACGAGTCTGACACCGTTCACTGTAACCTATCAGTAGCCTGGGGGGAGAAGCAGCCTCACCGAGACTATCCCTGCCTCAGTGGACCCCAAGGAAGAAAAGTTAAGGGGACAGAACCCCCTTGTCTGTGGTGATGATTATAAGACTGCCCCCCACCGCCCCAAGGCACATGGCCCTTCCAGCATTCCGATCTATCCTCTGGCCTAGGCCCTGCTGACCACCCACCCGGTCCCTACCTGAAGCTGGGGATACAGCTGCACCCACAGTTCCCGTGGCACAAGTGGGTGGGGGTGGGGGCATGGCTCTGCTGAGATGGAGAAGAGAAAAGAGATCCCCCATCAGAGTTCCTGGGGTGGCATCAGCAATTCACCCACAGGTCTCGCCACACCACCCCTGGCCCCTGGCTACCTCTTTCAACCCCAGGGTAAGGCCCTGACAGCACCCACACCTCCAGCCTCATGGAAGCTCCCCTTTTCTCAGATGCTGGATGGTAGTTGAGTCCTGCAAGCAGGGTTGGTGAAGGGGAGGGGAGGGAGAGTGCCTGGCCAGGGAAGCAGGGGGCCCAGGGCAGGCATCGGGCAGGGCAGGTAGTGGTGGTGGAAAACCAGAGGGCCTCCTCCTGGGGCTCCATCTCCTCCTCCTATTGACCCTCCAGGGAGACCCGGGGATTGTGCACATGGAACGGGACACAGCATCAGACTCTCCCTGCCCCTGGTCCTGTCTGTGCGGTGCTCAGTCGCTTCAGTTGTGTCTCTTTGCAACCCCGTGGACTGTAGCCCCCAGGCTTCTCTGTCCATGGGATTCTCCAGGCAAGAATACTGGAGTGGGTTGCCGTTCAGTCGCTTCAGTCGTGTCTCTTTGCAACCCCGTGGACTGTAGCCCCAGGCTTCTCTGTCCATGGGATTCTCCAGGCAAGAATACTGGAGTGGGTTGCCGTTCCCTCCTCTGGGGGATCTTTCTGCCCCAGTGATCGAACCACAGCCTTCTGCATCTCCTACATTGGCAGGTGGACTCTATACCACTCAGCCACCAGGAAAGCCCTGTCTTGGTCCCAGATGCATCCTCATTTGTGTCTTTGCTAAGCCAGGACTCTCAGTGGTAGGCGCTGAGGGGCAGGCCTGTGAGAGCAAAACCTCTGCTGTGGGTGAGCCCAGCTGGCTGCCTAGCACCCAGCTCTGAAACTCTGCCTCTTGGTACAAAGCTACTCTGCCAGGGGAGGGTTTTTTTGATTGTTAGGTGAAGTGGCAGATGTGAAAGATCTCAGAACAATTGTTCTTAGGTGTAAGTAGAAGTGTTTGGTGGTTGGGCATGTCAAATACAGGGAAGACCTTGCTCCCTGATGTTGACAAGCCTCCTGCAGGGGTTCAGTGGGCGGCTCATCCTGGATCTGTCTTGTTCATCAAAGGCCCCCAGGAGCACAGAAACCACACATCAAAAAAAAGGGTGCAGAGGGAATTTCCTGCTGGTCCAGTGGTTAGTAGCACTTTCACTGCCATGACCCGAGCTTAATTCCTGGCTGAGGAACTAAGATCCCCAACCAGGGGATCTTCAGCATCTGTGGTCTCAACTACCTTGGTCCCTTGCATGCATGCATGCCCAGTCGTGTCCGACTGTTCAGTCGCTTCAGTCGTGTCTCTTTGCAACCCCGTGGACTGTAGCCCCAGGCTTCTCTGTCCATGGGATTCTCCAGGCAAGAATACTGGAGTGGGTTGCCGTTCCCTCCTCTGGGGGATCTTTCTGCCCCAGTGATCGAACCACAGCCTTCTGCATCTCCTACATTGGCAGGTGGACTCTATACCACTCAGCCACCAGGAAAGCCCTGTCTTGGTCCCAGATGCATCCTCATTTGTGTCTTTGCTAAGCCAGGACTCTCAGTGGTAGGCGCTGAGGGGCAGGCCTGTGAGAGCAAAACCTCTGCTGTGGGTGAGCCCAGCTGGCTGCCTAGCACCCAGCTCTGAAACTCTGCCTCTTGGTACAAAGCTACTCTGCCAGGGGAGGGTTTTTTTGATTGTTAGGTGAAGTGGCAGATGTGAAAGATCTCAGAACAATTGTTCTTAGGTGTAAGTAGAAGTGTTTGGTGGTTGGGCATGTCAAATACAGGGAAGACCTTGCTCCCTGATGTTGACAAGCCTCCTGCAGGGGTTCAGTGGGCGGCTCATCCTGGATCTGTCTTGTTCATCAAAGGCCCCCAGGAGCACAGAAACCACACATCAAAAAAAAGGGTGCAGAGGGAATTTCCTGCTGGTCCAGTAGTTAGTAGCACTTTCACTGCCATGACCCGAGCTTAATTCCTGGCTGAGGAACTAAGATCCCCAACCAGGGGATCTTCAGCATCTGTGGTCTCAACTACCTTGGTCCCTTGCATGCATGCATGCATGCCCAGTCGTGTCCGACTGTTTGTTGACCCCATGCACTATACCCCGCCAGATTTCTCTGTCCTTGGGATTTCCCAGGCAAGAACACTGGAGTGGGGTGTCATTTCATTCTCCAGGGGATCTTCCTGACTCAGGAATCGGCTCCCACATGCGGCAGGCGGATCCTTAAGCAGTGAGCCACCTGGGAAGCCCCGGTATGCATTTACCAGGGCTTAAAACAAGAGATAACAAACAGAAAGTGATGTGAGGATGAGGTCAGAGCTGGGACAGGAAGCACGTGACTTCTGAGAAGGGAAATCAGTCAAAAACCAGGTAGCACTTGTTGAACCAGCAGCAGCCCAGGGAACAACGGCTGCTGGAAGCTGGACCTCGGCCACCCTGTTTACCTATCACAGCAGCACCCGTTTGCTGATACAGGTAAGGGGATGCTCCCCGCTTCCCTCTTGGCACAGTGGAAAGGGCTTGGGATAGATTGTCAATCAACACTTGAGTTCTTCTTCTTCCCCTCCCTGTCTGCCCATAAGCCCAGGGGCTGGAGTTGTTACAAAATTTCCTCCGTCTGGTTGGCCCTTGCATGAGGAGCTCACATCAGCCATCTCTCTGAGTCCAACAGCCTATTGCTTTGTGGTTATTTTCCCTTTTTGTCCTTTCTCTTCCTCTCGTGCTCTGTCAACCACATAACTGTCTTAGAAGCGTGAACTGCCTTCCCACCATGGCCCAGGTGGGTCCAGTTCATCTGGATTGAGCTCAGAGTTGATGCTTAGGGCACAAGTATAGTCCCCAGCTTCTTGGGGTCATACTCAAGGTTCCTGATGAATCCTATTCAATGAAATCCTATCTGGTTAGAAGGGACTTTCCTATCCTGTGGCTCATACTTCCAAGGAGCCTCTTCTTTCTAGGTATGTAGGAATTTCTCTTTTCCCTTTGTATTCTTTTTGTAAAATTTAATATGTGACACATAATGAACACATCTATGTAACATGCATGTGCATTGTACATGAAGATAATATAATGAACATCCCTGAACCCAACACTCAACCCAAGGATGAACTACCACTAAACTTTCTGTCTACCTACTGTGCTACTCACCTCCCACCCAGACATAAATAACCACCCTCCCAAAGTCTGCTTTTATTGTTCTCTTGATTCTTCTTTTAATTTAGTGCTTAATCACATATGCAGTCTAGTGCTTTATCACATACACATTTATTTTCATTTTATGAAATAGTCATGTAACATATACTGTGTGCCAGTTACTGTTTTGAATACTTTTAAATATTGTCATTTAATTAGTTTACTCCACAAACCATCCCATAAGGAATGTGCTATGGGTAATCCCATTTTACAGAGGAGAAAACTGAGGCACACAGAGATTAAAACGACTTGCTCAGGGTCACATAGATAGTAAGAATGGGACAGGTCTTCTGGATCTTAGTGTAAGAATTTCTCCAGGGCATATATCTAAGGGTGGAATTGTGGGTTATAGGATATAACACTATTCAGCATTAGAAGATAATGCCTCATCATTTCTCAGAGAACCAAAATACACTCTCACCAGCAATATACGAGTTCCTATTGACCCACAGCCTCTCCAACAGTTGGTCTTGTTGACTTTCTTAACTTCTGCCAATCTAGTAGATATAAAGTGGTTCCTCATTGTGCTTTTAATTTCCCTTGCTCTTACTGAGTAAAAGCATCTTTTCATTAGTTGAGAGGTTTTGTTTTCTTTGAAATGTTCATCATGTCTTTCATATACTCAAAATTATCAGTTGTTTATTCTAGCAGTGGTGATCTTGAGGTCTTGCTTAGGAAATCCTTCCTTGCCCCAAGGACATAAAAATATGCTCCTATATTTTCTCATGTATTTCCCCGGCGGCTCAGCAGGTAAAGAATCTGCCTGCAACACAGGAGCCACTGCAGAAGCTGAGGGTTTGACCCCCGGGTCAGGCAGA